TAACAATATCTGGGTGAATGTGATGCAGGAGGTCTTTGGGCCAATCACCCACATTTTCTATGTCCTTTATCTATCATGATTTAAACTATATGAGGAATTTCTCTGTAGTCTGAAAATGTCCCCAAGGTCCAGGCCTAAAAGCAACATCAAAACCCAGTTTGTGGCTTGATTTCCTGTCTGTGTTGCTAAGGCAGGAAACAGTTTGAGGCCACAGTGTGAGACTCAAAGCCTGGGAGGCAACCAAGGCAACCAAGAGAATGTTCCTGAAAGGGTAGCATCTTTACCTAAAATGTTTAACAAAACTAACAGGCCTTAGTCCTACCAGGCCTTCTGGAATTCCCTTCGAGGTATCCTTGGAGATCTCATCAGGTGTTTTTCTGAATACAGATATAAAGGGAGTTATAAGATAATATAACTCCCTATCATCTTTGAAGAAACTCAGAATTCTAGTGGTCCCAGCTCTATCCCCCAGCTCTGGTCAGGTGGCTTCAAGTCACCATGCGTCCAGAAGTCCTGCTCCAAGCAAACATGCTTATTGGTGGGCTGTCACAGGATAAAGGTTCACCTGCTGTCCATTGCCTCTGTCAGTTCTAAAATTGTCATGTACAGTCTCCACTCTTCCCTTGGGCTTTTCGACACCTGACTTTGTCCTGCCCACTCTATGTGAACACCTGCTTTCACAGGAAAGGAAAGGAGGTAAGGAAAGTCCTTAACTATTTTACTAAATTCCAATGAAAAAAAGTATTAAGTAGACTAAGCAAAATGTTGTAGATGTCCCTAAAATAAACCAAAAATCTTTACATGTTTCCCAGAGCAGCTTACTTTTGGGGAAGCTGATATTTCTAAGCTCTCAGTATGAATCCAGGAAGTTCACTTGAGACTCAATAGTGGGTTAAAGTAGGCTTTAAAAGTAAAGCTCACACAGTCTCTACACTGGAGTCCACATACTTAACTAGTTGAGAGACTCCTAGGACAAGTCTGAGTACCTGGTTTCTTGGTCCCCTGGTGATGAATTGTGTGATATTACAATGAAGAAAAGAGTAAAAAGGGGAGCAAGTCTAGATACATCAATAACACCACCAGCAAGAAAGGGAGGAGGTGGGGAAACCATAAGAAACAGACATAAGAACTGGATTTAAATGGCAGAAGTAGGCTACTGGGCTCTCATACCTCAAGGAGCCCCTGGGGCTGTTTAACATTGAATCTTCTCATACCAATGACTTGAACAATGACAGCCTCCAAGGAGGGTGTCTGAGACACCCWGCTACCCACTTTGCATTAGCACATAGTAGGCACACAACTATCAGAACAATGAACCTGAATTATCAAGAGAACTACAGCATAATAAAAGACTCTTCATTTTCTTAAAAATGGGACAATGCATCCTGTATAAAAACAGATATTACACAGTATGTCATATTCAATGTATATTAAATGTGTATTTTAAAGGATATCTTTGCCATACCAGTATAGGGAGGCAGCGCCCAGTAAGAGGTGATTAGTGAAGGAGGCTCTGCTTAATGAGTGGACTTAGCCATTTTCACAGGTGTGGGTTAGTTATCCAGAGAGCAGATTTGTATAAAAGTGAGTTTGGCTCTGTGTTGCTCTCTTGCTTTCACCCTCCCTTGTCCTCTCACCTTCAACCACAGGTAGAGGCAGCACAAAGGTCCTTCTGGGTGCCAGCCATACTCTTGGATTTTCCAGCCTCCAAAACCATGAACCAAATAACTCTCTGATTTTATGGATCAGTCTGAGGTAATCTATTATAGTAGCACAAAATGTACTAAGATGAGGAAAAAAAGAGAAAGTTTCCTCTCTTTTTTTCCATTTGGTCCTGCATATGTATTTTTCATGGAACATGATTTATTAAAATAAAGTGTCCCATTCATGACTTAAGTGTTCAAAGATTCAAATCAAATCATAAAGGATACATAGAATAAGAAGATGTAAACAAAATGGGTCAAAAAATATTATCATTTAGGTTTTCAAAAAACATATTTGTACCTGGCCTACTTCTTAGGAGGACACAATTATCTACAGTARCAACATATGAGTTGTATCACTACTTGTATGTGTCACATAATCCATCTCTCTGTACAAATTTAAAAATACATTGATAACCAAATAAAAGAAAAATTATTACAGAGATTATCAAATGTCCTGATTTAATTAACATTGTAATATTGCAGCAACCAGGGAAAAGCTGATTTCCATAACAATTAATATGAAGATAATATTTAGAAAATTGTGAAGCAAAATGGAATTTATTCATAATTTACCACTTTTGTCTTATCCTATCTCTTTCATACTGCCCAGTAACAATCATGACCTTTTAAATATAAAATTATCACATTAGGTGTGCCTTTTATAGATTATTAAAAATAATAATCGAAGGTATAAACTTTGAGATTGATTATTTCAGCTAAAACAAATATTATATTAGTTTCAGGCAGAATGCCAGGAAGTTATCAAAATTGACTTTTCCAAAAAGCAAAGGTAGATTGAATGAACAAGGGATATACCCTGTTCACTTTTATCCATGAAATGTAAACAAAAAATTCTGAAACGTTAAAAAAAATGAGACTCAAGAATTATGAATATAATACTATTTCTTGTCACTTATTCTGACCCTAAGGTATCAACAGGTATCTATAAATCCCATCAGGCAAGAAAAACAGGAAAGAGTTGTATCACTGAGTATACTATGAGAGCAATTAGGAGTTAATGCTCAGTTATCTGAGGTTTTAGTCCAATCTTTTACATTTGAGAATGTTTCTGAGCTTGCCTATGATTTTGTTAGTATCTGATGGCATCTATTTTCCTCTGAAGTCAAAAGAAAGTAGTGCTTGGATTATTCATATGTACTATCTGTGTTTTTCCTCCCTCCCACTTACATAAATTAATATACCAATGCTAATGTAACTCAGGGCAAGCCACTTCTCTAAAGGGTTGATACGTGATTAATAGTCCATGGGAAGGTTTCCAATCCTGAGCTCCCTAAAAGCTGTAAAGACTCTGGATCACGTTTCCATGTACAACCTTTGTTTTAGAAACACACGGAGCTCTGAATAGAGGATTTTGTGACATACAGCTCATAGACTGATTCTAACAGATGGATTTTTCTAGAAATAACTTCATTAGTTAATCAATTCTTTTACATATACTTTTTCTAGCTAATTGGCATAACTGCCAGCTGGAGATACTTAGAATCCTTCAAAGAAGCTAATAGGTAGGGTGAAATTAAATAGTTTCAACAATTCTAAGATAAAAATTCCATTAATTTCACACTAACAATTATGTATTTTAAAACAAAACATTTTTCTTCACCTGTTGCCTTTTATTCTAAAATACATACTTGATCTATATGAAAACCAAACCAATCAAGTTAAGGAAACTTTAAATTTTAATAAATTTTCTAGACCAGGTTTCCCAACATTTATACTGTCTTTATTGTGGATCAGATAATCTCTTATTTATTTATTTATTTATTTATCTGTTTGCCTATCTATTTATTTATTTTTGTGGGTATGTGTACCATTTCATGGATAGCAGGCTTTATTAGATGCCATTAGCACTCCTGTTTTGACAACCCAACAATGTTCCTAGTCATAGCCAAATATCCCTGTTTTCAGGGCAAAACTGTCTTCACTGGGAAATACTGCTCTAGAAAGAGATTGCTCCTAGCTTTAAATTCAAGTCTTAAAATAATTTGAAAGAACTTTTTGTATGTCTATATAAAGGCAAATCCAGGCATGCCTAGAGCATTAGAAAGTGCTGCCTTTAGACAAGTAAAATGTTTGGGGGATAATTATTTAAGTAGCTAATGCTTTCATAAATCTCTCCATGTAAAAGAAAAAAATGAATAAAAGACAGAAAAAGTGGCTTATAACTACAAATGAATATTAACTGAGAATGCTGTGATCACCATTATCAAAAACTATTAAAGATCTCTTTTCCTTTAAGGAAAGTCCTCAGTATGGCTGTATTAATAGATTAAAAAATATCATGAGGTAGGATCATTTGAGGTGTAAATAATTAATTATCCATTGAGTTATCTAAGGCATTTTTAAGAAGTTAGTGTAACTTAAGGAATTAGACATGGAGAAAATTGACCTGGATCTGTTTTGAATTTACTGTGTACTTGTAATTTATTTAGGGCTTATAAAAGGGTTAGTCATTTAGATAGAGAAGTTTTGTGATATTTAAAGTAAGTGATCAAAATAGCATTTATCATGATTTTTCTGCATTTATCAATGGATCCAGGAAGAGTACCATAAAATATAAGATGTGAATTAATATGGCTTTTAAAAGGAAAGCAATGAGTATATTCTGGTTTACAGTGAATCAAAGAATAAAACAACACATAGTATGCAGAGATGATCTTCCTATGTTAAAAAAAAGTTCTAAATTCTATCCAAATTGCTTTCTTTTCCACAAAGGTTTTTTTTTTATACAGACTTTAATATAAAATAAAGGGTAAGTTGTAACATTTAATAATTCAATATGTGATTAATTTTTCCTATAAAATCAAGATTTTTATCTAGAAATTCCACAATTAGAACCAATTGTATTCTATGCTTTTATAATTATGTCAGAGTGAATCCTATTGTCATGTATAACAAAACAAAACAAAACAAAATACTAAAACTCCCTCCCACCAAAAAGAATCCATAGTAGTCTTTGCTTTCTCTGTTAAACTTTTGAGACCCACTGTTAGAATTTAGATTTTACACTTTCTTTCCTTTGAGAAAAATATCCCTCTCCACTTTACATAGGATATTATATTGTGCAAATTGCCATTTTTCATTCTTTCCATCCATATTCAGAATATCCCATTTTGTTTAGAATGCCAAAAGCAAAATTRTGCATTTTGCATTTTGACATTTGAACTAAAAGGACCAAGCACCCTGCTCTGGGCGCTCTACTGGCATGCTAGGGGCCTGCTGTGTTTCTGGGTCATGCACCAGACTTTCTGGCTCACGTGGACTTTGCACACTTACTTTCTGCTGGCTCCTTGGAACGTCGGCCACTGGACGACTTCCTCAGCAGGCTGCGTCCTGAGGTAAAGAGGCTGGTGAGTTCTTCCAAAGGACTCGTGGGTGTTCTGGACCTAGAGCCACTCGGAGCCGCCCCGTAGGTGTTCACCGCARCGTTGACCATCTTGGCCCCATCTTGCGACACGGGTCTGGGGGTGGCATGAGGCACTGAGGGAGAGCTCCTGGAGAGGCTTCCAGAATGCACGGCGTCGTAGGGGGGAGGCCTCTTGAGGCTCAGCGGGGTCAGGGACCTGCCCATGCTGACCGGCGAGGGGGAGGTGGAGTGACTTTTAGGGTAGCCGTGGGGAGACTGCGTTCGGTACAAAGTGGAAGGAGGCGGCGGGGACGAGGAGAGCACAGAYGTGGCAGAGGCAGGTCCCAGGGCTCCTGGCTGGTCCTTCTCCAGTTTCGAGTGGCCRGAGGTGTGAGGTGGCAGGGAGCAGGGAGAGGCTCCCGCGGACTGCTTCATGTAAGACACGTTTTCCAGCACGGGGAGCTTGGTGACTTCCAGCGGGGTGAGTGGAGACTCGTCSGAGTTGGGGGAGCAGTGCACAGGGGCTGGCGGGAACACCAGCAGAGGGGGTCGGTGAGACAGCAAGTTAGGAAAGGGCGGGGGGATGTCACAAAGCAAACCCTTAGGAGTGCATGGCACTGAGGACTTGGCGAAGTCCAAGTCAGGCACCGTGGGAGTAGCACACTGCGAAGAACAACTGTGATGGTCAAAGTCACCTTTGGAATCTTGGCCTAGGTCGTCGAAAATGGGGTATTTCATTTCCTCGTAGACGGCCTCGCTCTGGTCGTCGTCCTCTCTCCTGAAGTCTCTGAGAATGTTCCCCACCATCTCGATGTACACGGGCTCCTCCTCCTCGGGGTCTCCCGCCGGGGTGCTGACCTGGGACAGGGAGGAGTCCCGAGGCAGCGATGTCCTCCTGGGCCCGTGCTTTTTGATGTAGGTTTCATCAAAGGACGTGCTAAGCTGAGTGTTTGGGTTCCGTTTAGGTTTCGGAGGGGGGATCTTCTTTGAATACTCATCACTGTGGGGTCTTGGTTTGGCAGACACTAAAAGAACAACAACAACAAAAATAGTAAAGTAGATGAATACAATAGGAAAGCTTTCCAAAATGACTCCTATTGTTACTTATTGCTATMAATTTGATGGGAGGAAGAGCCAACTTCATTTCTAGCTTGAGGCTTAGACTACAAATCAACCATAGAATCAAATGTTTCCCATATTTAGAAAAACGTGATGGCAGAGCATTATGGTTTAGATGTCAGGTCTCTCCCCAAAGCTCCTGTGTTAAGGCAGGAAGTGAAATGATTAAATTGGGAGAGCTGAAACCAAATGTGTGTTAGTCAATTTGATGGATTAATGATTCATTGATTGGAAAGGTGGTCACCCTAGGCATGTGAGGTGTGGCTGGAAGAAACCGGTCACTGTATATGCCTTAGGGATTACATATTTTGCTCCTGGTTCCCCATGTTCTTCCTGGCTGCCATTAGCTGCATAACTTTCTTCCATCACAAGGTTCTGCCTCATCTTGAGCCCAGAGCAATGAAGTCAGCCAACCAGGGACTGAACCTCTGAAACCTTGAGCTCAAAATAAACTTTTCCTCCTCTCAGATGTTCACATCAGGTGTTTTGGTCACAGCTATAAAACTGACCAACAAACAGAACAATAGGAATTCTCATCTTCAGACTAATTAATACTCCAATGCCAATAAATATGTTAATGTCAGGAGTATTCACCTCTCTGAGTTGGAATTTCTAAATAGAAACTTCAGATGAAGTTGGTTGCATGACAGCAATCACAAACCTCATAAAAACTGCAAGAATTGAGAAAGAAATAGAATTTTTAAATCTAGTGTGTATAAGCACAAATGTTCACAAAAATACCATAGACATTGAGCCCTTTGACTGATATGGCTACTCCCATGATCACATCTTGCTTTCATTTAGGATAAATATTTCCTAGCCTGCTAGACTTACTTAATCTCTGTCTTGGTTCAAATAAATAGCTTCTATGAAGATGGATTTGATACTTTAGGGGAAATTGATGTAAAAATCTTATGAGGCTAGACAAGTTAATCTCCAAATCTCCAGGTATTGTTGATTATGTTGTGTTTGTCTGGTTTTGTTCATAAGATCTTGTATGATATCCTAAATGCTGTCTTGGAGAAACTTTATTAGATATGTTCGGATGACACATCAGAACTTCCTGGAGAATTTTAAAAGAGAGGAACCCAGGGAATGACGCAAAAATCTTCAAGAATAACTACTGGAAATTCATAGCAGATTTGTGTACTAGTGCATCTCACTGCCTGCTGGAAGCCCTCTCTTTGGACAGAACGTACACTTTTGACATCATCCAGTTAGGTGGAACAAGCTGACAAATGTCTGTGACTGGAATCAATTGTTTAGCATGCAGGGAAGGCACTGGAGTCTTGTTATTATCTCATTAACTCATTGTGTTGATATGTGATTATAATGATTATCATCATTATGCAATGTGACAGAATGTAGCTGCTTACACTAGATGGTAGAACACAGTGGAAGTTGACAGTTTAACTTATAGGTGCTAACCTTAAGGAAATAATTAGTCTTCCCCACGGTTTTCATCCTAAAGAGGGGAGTCTCAAGGCATAAATCAGGAATCTATTAAGTTCCCCTTTGTTTTTTACAAGTAGCACTACTTTTGGCTCAGGAGAAGAAAGTGCTTAAGGATTAGTTAGGTGACTACTGTATGCATCATTCATGCCTATAACAAGATGGGAACCATCAAATATTCTAGCAGGGACTATTTCACTTGATTTTAATGATTTCAAATGTTCTGTTTCATCATGGCCATGATGATAATTGTACTCACTACAATCAAACAACTTTTGAAGAGAAAAACTTTTRATGTGTCTAGATTTTTCCTTTAGCCTATATTATCAAACACTTGGATGTCATTTCCAAGGGGGCTAGAGCAATTAAGTCCTTTAGTGTCCAAAGTAAAATTCCTAGAGACATAATGAGGTGAAAACTATTCAATTGATTCATTTTTAGGAAGAAGAAAAGCAACCGAAGATCTTCCCTGAACCACCCAACATAGCATCCATTTTACTAGTTTTGAAATCTATGGAGTACATTAATTTTCACATAATTTAAATAAGTCATCAGATTATATACAAAATTATGAGTTGGAGTTATGAGCTGGAATAGAGTAAAACTATATATCAATGAAGATGATTGACTTAGTAATGAAAAAATTTTGAAAGGATCAGGATTAAGAGGACAAAAAATAACACCCATTCTTTAAAACTTGTTTCCTGTCATCTTTTACCATAAAAGAATCACTCTAAATTAAGTAACTCAGACTTTGGGAAAATAGTTCCCACTGTTTAGTGGTTGAATGGTTTGTGGTAGGAGGGGTTCCTAAAGAAGAGGAGTTTGAGTAGTGAGGTGCTCTGAATAGATGGTTAACTTGAGTCTAAGAATTAAGGTGTGTTCTCCATGAGATGAATAACTCCCATGTATGCGAGCAATCATATTTAGAATATGATTTTCATTATTCTTTCTTAAATTATAAGTCATCAATAGTAGATGTGGGTGTAGTGTGGTATTCATGGAAGCAGCATCAGTTGGACAAGCTCTTTCCCACAGAGATTAGAAAATGGCCTTGGAATGGATAAGACCAATGCTGGGGGTCGTATGCAAACTGTGAGCAGATGACACTTCATTTTGTTTGCCAAAATAAACAGAGAACAAGTGTGGGGGGGACCYTTGATATTGATGAAATTATCGAAGAAAGAGATTTTTTTCCCGCCCAGAATACAGTATACTTAGAATTACGGTAGAAAAGCTGACTCATAAGAAAGAGTCTGGGCAACCCATTTATACTGTCAGGTYAATTTCAATGTCAAACCAATTATAGATATTGTCTGTGAGGAAAACCAAATATATTATAGGACTCTTACGGTGACTGTGAGATGATCAAAGTTGACAGTTGCTATTGACCAAATTGTGTTCTTCCTCCCAACAACAACAACAACAACAAATAAAATTAATATGTTGAAGCCCTAACCCTCAATATGAGGCATTTGGAGATGGAGACTTTGGGAGATAATTGGTTTCAAATGAGGTCATGAGAATGGGGCTCTCATGATGTGATTATAAGGAGAATCTCCCACCGCTGCCATGTCGGAACACAGAGAGAAGATATTCAGTCCACATGCCATAGCCCACCCCAGAAATCAACCGTGCTAGCATCTTGATTCTGGACTTGTAGCCTCAAGAACTAAGAAAGAATACATTCCTGAGGTTTAAATTAACCACTTATTTTATTACAGCTGTCTGAACCAAGTAAACAGTGTGCTTACTGCACCTTATGTGAAGACCCTTTACAGTGAGAAAATAAGAACCTGCTTTAATTTCATTCTGTGGTMTTGGAATGCTTCCACTGGCTTTGTTATTTTAGGAATTACCACAACTCTCCCAGGCAGCCTTTTGAATGTCTCTTGTCCCTGTCCCTGCCTCCTGCAAAAATGTCACAGGGYACATTCTACCTGCAAACAGACATGTTCTTACCCTCCAAGAGCCCCCTTTCACTATGTGGCCTGTTATTCTGATTCTTCTTGATCTGACTCTCCAGCCAGTCTCTAAGTCGTGCCAAGGCACCTAGTGCTTAAATCTGACCCACTTTCTTGATGTTTGCCATTTGGGTGTCCTTTACTTTGGCATTCTTCCTCCATGCTCCACTGTGTTCTGCTCTTTGGCTGCCCACCAGCTGCAGTGATTCCCCAGCAGTCTTGTCCAGGGAACCCTCCACTACCTAGGCAACTCCTTCCCTCTTCCGGTCCCTGCTTGGAGAGCCACGTGATTCAAGCAGATATTTTCCTGATCCTCCTGTTYAGTATTAATCCAAATTTTGACATGAGAGAATGAGGATAGTTCAGAGAATAAAATGACAAGTAAATCACAGATGACTGATCCATCCCTTCAAGATGGATTAGGAAGCTTTTTGCCTTTACAAAATCTTCTTTTCACTACACAGCCCCACTTAAAATCCTGTTTCTCTCTGAAAAGTCAAAACAGAAATGAATTTCTTTTCTAAACAATTAATTTTTTTCTTTTCATTTTCCCTGCATCATCTAGTTTTACCATGGTGTAYGTTTTGGGTAAATAATTTGTGGAGCAATGAAAATGTGTTTAATATACTCATATATGCTTYTTAGAAAGTTTCTCTATATAAGGAAAAGTCTGACTTTTTTTGGTTACCTTGTCCCATAATTTATTCTACTTCAAGCTCACTCTAGGCAATTAAAAAGTAAAGGAAAAAATCATTTTCAGATGAGATTTTTTCATAAGATACTTAAAAATAGTCTTGAACTACATATGTACATACTAAAACACTGCTAATAAAAGACAATGAAAATTGCATTGCAAATTTCAACATTTAACTGAATTCAACCATAATAGAAAGGTGATTTTTATCACTCTTAAATGAATTCTAAATTATTTCTAATAAGCCCAAAGATAGAAGCAATAATTTCTATTCAGCTCCAGAACACAAATTTTAATCCTTAAAATAGAATAATGAGAGTAGCATTGAATAAGCATAAAGTGACATTTTTGAAATGATATATCTGAGCACAAAGGTTATGCATGGCTTTCAGTCATGCCTAGATGATCTGTCTTTCACAGTTAATTTTGGAAATTCAGCATGTCCTTTGTCAACCTATCCTTCAGAAATACAATTTTCTTATTAAAAAAAAAAAGTAATGTGAAATCATGCTTTGGCATCTGTCGGTGTTCTTCACCTAAGAGGTGAAAAAGAGACACGGTGCAGGTTGACTTTCACCCTCCTGGGAGACTCTGTGGCCACAGAATCCCAGAGTTTCAGAGTCTTATAGATTATCCAGCCTAAATTCCACATATGATGGGTAAACAGATATTAATTCCTAATCAACTTCGTTTCTAAAGAAAATCGTATAACTTCAATTCAGTCCACTCTACCYCTTGAAATAAGGACACAATGAAGGAGGACCTATGTGATTCATTACTCTGTATGTGGCAGAAA